GTGACCTTCTAGGTGCATTCAGAAATTGACTCAACCCCTGCACAGCAAAACTTATATCAGGTCTTGTAACTGTGAGATATGACAACTTACCTATCAACCTTCCGTATGATGTTGACTCCGATAGAAGAGGATCATTGATTTCAGCCGAAGGGTTGCAAGTCAACCTTGCATTTCGTTCCAAAGGAACACTAAGAGGTTTTGCTGCAGTTAGTCCTACATCAGATAAGATATCTAAAGCATATTTACGTTGGTTGAGAATCAGGCCTTTCTTTGACCTAGCCACTTCTATTCCTAGAAAATATCTAAGCTGTCCTAAGTCTTTAATTTTGAATCTATTATGTAGAAACTCTTTAACTTCTTGAATTTTATCTGATTGATTTCCTGTAATCACTAAATCATCAACATACACTAATATGAAAGTAGTTTCAGATTCTGTTTGTCTTATAAACAGTGAGTAATCATACATGCATTGCCTAAAACCTGCTTGTAAAAGGGCTTCTGTGAGCTTAGCATTCCACTGCCTTGATGCTTGCTTGAGACCATAAAGAGATTTGGTCAATTTGTACACTTTGTTATGTGCAAAGTTCCCAAATCCTTGAGGGATGGTCATATACACCTCCTCCTTCAAGTCCCCTTGAAGGAAGGCATTATGAACATCCATCTGAAAAAGGTCCCAACCATTCATCACTGCAAGATTTAGAACTATTCTCACAGTCACCATTTTTACTACAGGGGAAAAGGTTTCAAAAAAATCCACTCCTTCTCTTTGGGTATTACCCTTTGCAACCAATCTTGCCTTAAACCTATCTATTTTACCATCAGCACTATACTTCACCTTATAGACCCATTTGCATCCTATGGGTTTCTTTCCCTTTGGCAAGTCAACCAGCTCCCAAGTGCCATTATCTTGCAGTGCCTCCATTTCTGCTTTCATTGCATCAACCCATCGCTGGTCTTTAGCTGCTTCTTCATAGCTATAGGGCTCAGCAATGTTGTCAATATTGGACAGAACATATTTATAATCAAATGACACATGTGAGTAGGATAGAAAAGATTGCATAGGGTACTTTACCTTTGCTTTACCTCTTACAGTGTCATCAAGTGGTTTATCACAGGCATACCCCACTAAAGCTTTGAAACAAATATCATTAGTACAAGCATAATCTTTCATCCATATTGGTGATTTTCTCTCACGTACAGGCCTTCCTAAATCATTTTCTGGATTAATTTCATCTCCATTATCTTCTGTATGTATTATGTCATCTTTTGGGTTCTGTTGCCTAATCGTTATAACTGGAGGTGATTCACTATCATATCTAAAAGGATCAATCATATCTGCACTGTCTCCCCCTTGATTGATACGGTTAGTATCTTTAAAGGGAAAACGGGTCTCATCAAAAGTGACATGGCGATTAACAGTAATACTCTGAGTTTGTAGATTATAGAGAAGATATCCCTTTTGTGTCCCAGGATAACCAAGAAATATGCAAGGATCAGAACGGTTTTGGAACTTATCAAGTGGGTGTAAATTCGTAGCAAAAGCTAAGCATCCAAAAACCCTCAAAAAAGACAGATCTGGTTGATGTCCATAGATCATTTCATAAGGAGTTTTATGAGCCAATACAGTAGAAGGGGTTCTATTAATAAAAAAAGTGGCTGTCTTAATAGCATCTCCCCAGAATTTCAAAGGAATACCAGATTGAAAAATTAAACTTCTTGCAACTTCTAAAAGGTGTCTATGCTTGCGCTCCACAGTCCCATTTTGTTGGGGTGTGTAAGGGCAAGTGGTTTCATGAACAGTCCCATGAGCATTAAGATATAGTTTCAAGTCAGAATTCATGAATTCTAAACCATTGTCAGTCCTAATTCGTTTAACAGTAGCAGAAAATTGGGTAGCAGTATAAGCAAAGAAACTTTTCAGATAAGCAACAGATTCACTTTTATTGATCATAAGAAATGTCCAAGTACAACGAGAGAAATCATCAACTATTGTAAGGAAGTATCTATGACCCATATAAGTAGGTTCCTTGTAGGGCCCCCAGACATCAATGTGTAATAGTTCAAAACAGCAAGATGACTTAGATTTGCTAGAAGGAAAAGGCAACCTAGTTTGTTTTGATCGAGGGCAAACAATACATTTCTCACTGTGATTTAGTACAGGAATGTCTTTTCTTATTTGGTCCAAGTATTTGAATTTATCTATAGGAGTGTGTCCTAATCTAAGATGCCAAAGAGTTTGTGTTTGCTTAGCAGTAGCATGCATAACAGAGTCCTCATTCTTTATCCTTTCAATGATGTAAAGACCACTAATGAGCCTACCAATCTCCCTTGTCTTTCCATGAAGGATATCCTGCAAAGTACAATGATGAGAGTAAAAGGAGACAACAAATTCCTTATTGGCAGTCAGTTTAGACACAGATACTAAATTGTAACAGCAGCCAGGTGCATAAAACACATCCCTTAAAATTATATTCTCAAGAATCCTAACTGTGCCTACATGGGTAATTAACATTCTATTTCCATTCGGGACTTTAATCACTCTAATGGGTCCTTTATAATCAGTGACAGTGTCAAACATATCTAGACTATTGACTACGTGACAGGTGGCACCAGAATCCAAGACCCAATGTAGTTCACAAAAGGATTTAGGGAGAGCATTAACAGCACCTGAGATTGTTTCCTCTATCAGGTTGGTGGCACTAACAGCAATGTCCATCTGTTCCTTTTGTAGTAATTTGAGGATCTGATCATATTGTTGTTGAGTCAGTGTGGCCTGTCCATGGAGGGAGGATGATGAGGAAGTGTTGGCCGACTGTTCAGGAGCAGAAGGAGAAAATGATGCTTGTCTTCCACGGAAATTTGAAGGAAATCCCACCAGGTGGTAACAGTTCTCCCTTTTGTGACCCTTTCTATGGCAGTGGGAGCACTCCTCCTGAGACCGTCCTCTCCCTCTACCTCGTCCTGAATGTCCACCTCTAGCACTCATAGTAGCTCCTTCTACCGGATGATTAGGGACATGGGAAGACATCATTTGTTGGGACTCATCTTGAGAAATCATAGAATAAGCTTGATTTACCGTAGGGAGAGGAGATTGTAATAAAATCTGGGTTCTGGCTTGATGATAGTTATCGTTGAGACCAGTAAGGAATTGCAAGAGCCTTTGCTGTTGTATCATTTTAGCATATTCCTGCGTGGTGAGACATTGACAGGAAGGCAGAGGTGCCAATGCATCGTATTCTTCCCAGAGATCCCTTAACCGTGTAAAATATTCAGCAACAGACATAGACCCTTGAATCAATGAACCAATGGCCTTATGAATGGCAAAAATTCTCAGTCCATCCGCTTTGTGAAAGCGTTCTTTTAAATCTAACCAAACTGCTCTAGCACTAGTTGAGAATACAAGGCCATTAGCAATACGCTTATCTACAGAATTTACCAGCCATGATAACACGATGGCATTGCACCGGTCCCATAAAGCACAAAGGTCTGGTTCTTGTTTCTCCCGAAGGCATGAACCGTCGATTATCCCCAATTTGTTCTTGGCAAACAAGGCGAGGCACATTGAACAGCTCCAGACCTCGTAATTCTCAGAACCCCGAAGCACCTGTGATACAAGAGTCACGGCTTGTGTGTCTGACGGATGGAGGTATAATGGGTGTGTGAAATCGATGCTTGGAGAGGAGTGTGAGGCGCTTTCTTCTTGTTTTCCCATTTTTACAGGAGTGAATCTTGACTCGCAGCAATCGCCGAATGGAAGAAATATGTGAATGAGTGAAGAAAGAAAGACGGCGAACGATTTTATCAGTCAGACAATCGGACGCAATTTCTGATCAAGATTAACAAATTCTTGATTAACAGATGCGAGCCAAACCAGCGATGAGGTTTTCGACCTCAGAGACGAACAGCTAAGGGTACTCTGATGCTTCTTTGAGAATCAGAGAACGAACGACAGGGAGCAACTTTTGCTTTCCCTTTCCCTTTGCAAAACGATGACGTAAGAACAACGGAGGACCTGGGCAAACGATGCCCTCTCACGAATTGGGCTAGCTCTTCTCAACCAACCGAGCAACCTGGAGCTCTGGATACCATGATAAGTTTCTGAATATTATTGATGAATAGGTCCACAGGACCAATAATCCATACATGACCAGTCGGACCTGACCCCCTTTTATAGACACTACTGGGCCAAGGCCCAACCACTAACTATTTACACTTTAACACTGGTTTTCTTAATCGATGCTTGGTGCCGCTCCCTACTCTCCATTCTCAGGCTCACGTCGTCGTCCCCAACACTGTCGTTGCTAGATCCATTGCCCCAGCAACTCAGTTATGTTCCCTCTGACCTTCATCGTCCTGTCTCATTTCCTCTCCCCTCTCCATCGTACTGTGGTGATTTTTTAAGAGAAAAATATGGTGTGGGGAGAAACTGTTTTGAGGTTTTAATCATATCCATAAAATAGAACATTTGAAGAACCCTTGTTCTTGATATGCTGCTTTTGCTTATCATTGATTGAAAGGGAAAAGTTTTCATGACTTTAAATCTGGCTCTTCTAAAAAGATGGGAGTGTAAGAGTAGCGTAAGAATGGAGACGTTTGAATCAAAAGTAATTTTATGCACAATAATTATTTGAGTAGGATTTTTTTCCTGGTATTCCACCATAATTGAAGCTTGCTTTCATAGTTTTTTTCCACTGGAAAAAAAAAAATTCTTGACGGGACCCATCCCATTCAGGACTGAGGCTTGGGATAGAAAATCCTGTTTATCAGGACCCATTCCTATCCCGTAAATAGTCCTAACATTAATAATTTTAATGTCTCTTATTGTAATTATGCTATTTAATTTGTATCATATATCAGTTCATTGTTTTCAAGAGATTCTTGCAAAATAATAATGAGAATTTATTTTCGTTCCATGCAAGTCATTGGATTGTGTTTTTGCTCATCAATATAGCATAGATGGAAGAATAAATCAGTAAGTAATAAATGATACAGCATTACTGAATATAAAGCACACTTATATAGATTTTTGTCTACATAGCTTCTGTCTCCTGTGGGAAAATGATTGTTCAATGGCTTCTCTTTCATCACGCTCCTCAAAAGGACAAAATTTCAAACAATATGCAAATTTGGAACAACCAGCTAAATTTAAAACTTTTAAAGAGGGTAGAGAAAATAAGTGATTTGGAATACTAACTAGATTAATACAATTTCTCAAATTTAAGAATTTGAGAATTGAAAGATAAGCAATAGATACATCAAGCCGTGATAATTGCGTGCATCCTTCAAGGTCTAATCGCTTAAGATTTGGAAATCTTTTGAAATCAGGCAACTTGACCAGATTTTTGGAGCCACTAAGATTCATATTTCTCAAAGGGAAGGCCTGTGGATGACAAAAAAGAGTAGCAGAAAAATTAACTAAACAGTATCCATAATCATGATTTTGGTTGTACAATTCACCTACATGTATTGTTCCACGCACATAATGACATACCATATCTCCTTCCCGTCTATTAGTGATGCAGCTCTCATGTGCTTCTCGGTCTTTTTCCCTTCTCAAATTTAAGAATTTAGTTCGGGCTTCAAAATATACGCAATAGGTGGGTTATGATGTGACTTTGATTCCATAATTCAATTTTGAGTTCGACACGCGCACACACAATAGCATTCGCATACCTGCTTCCCGAATATCTGTGAGGTGCCAAACAGCTACTTTTGGTTCTACTGCCCTTGTATTTATGATGGAGCTATCTGGTGCCTTTTCTCCTTCCCATATGTTTGTGATGGAGCTATCAGGCAAAATCAATTCAATGAGATTATGTGGCACAAAACTTGACGGTAAACAAGGGAAAGGATACTGGTGCCATGAAACATATCGAAGCTCATTTGAAAGATGCTTGAGGGATCCACAAAACTTAACGTTACGAAATATGAGTAGTTTAAGATTGCCCATATTTGATAAAGCTTGGACCCTTAATGCCCTTTGCTGTGAATCTTCTAAATCCAGGACTATTGCTTGAACTACTCCGGAAGCCTGGAAATAAACACAGAATCACACACACGACAATGATGAAAAGTAAAATAGCTTCAACTTTCGGACATATGTTTCGACGGAAAAAAAAAAAAAAAAGAGCAGAAAAATGTTAGTAAGACTTACTGTGTCATTTTGCATAACACGAAAAATATCATTGAAATCCCACAATCTACTCCACCTTTCTGGCATGGAAGGGAACTTAAGCTGAACAATTTCTCTTCCCATTTCTTGCAATAGACCATGCATTTCTATTTTTTGATCTATAATGGTTATGAGTGATGTTTCAATTAAAAGTTGTATTTCCTCCTTCACTGGGGTATTTTTCTTTTGATCAACAAATCTATAACTATTTAAAATTCCTTTTACATGTTTAATCTTCTTCCCTCTGAAAAAACAAGCAATGTCGAGAAATATTTCCTTGCTGTCACGATCCAGTTCATCAAAACTCTTTTTGAGTACCTTCATGATCATCTGGGTAGCAACCTTTTTTATTTCAACCCAAGTACTTCCCCATTCTGAGACTTTTCTATTATACAATAATGAGCCCAATATCATAATTGCCAATGGAAGGCCGTTAGCAAATTGGAGTACACTATTTATTTGCTGCTTATAATCTCTGGCATGAAAATCACATTTGAAAACTTTTCTGCAAAATAATTGAAGAGCTTCATCCTTGGCCAATGGATTAACCCGATAGATATCATACTTCCCAAAGATTTTAAGGACTCTTTCATCTCTGGTTGTTATGATAATTCTACTTCCTCCACCTAACCAATTAGTTCTTATAGGCTTGATTAGGGGCATTAGATTTTGGTTCTTATCAATGCCATCGAGAATCATGAGAATAATCTTTCCACATGCTAGTCTCCTGGTATAAAATTCAGATAGGTTAGGTAGAAAATAACAAGCATCAAAGCGGTAAGAGATCCTATCATAGAGAACTCTGACAAGAGTTGTCTTCCCTATTCCGCCCATTCCACAAATGCCCAGAACTCGAACCCCATCATTTGAACCCAAGTCGAGAAGTTTTTCTACGTCATTCACCCGAGATTTCATCCCTACCAAATCTACATCAACGTAAACTAATTCACGCATTCTTCTCTTGACCTTTATTATGATATCATCAATAACTTGTGGCCCTAACCTGAACAGAGGAAAAATAAAAGTACTAGTTCAATTCCTGAATGATCAACAATTACTCGAAGATCTCTATATTGAGACTCGAAGTTTTGATCAATTGAAAACCAAGAGAAAAATTACTTACTCATGCTGTACATGCCAACCAAAGAGATTGGCCACTCGTTTCATTGCTAACCTCCAGGTGTGTACTCTTCGTAGATTTGCTGTAAACCTTTGTTCGTGATCAACGAAAGCTTGCTGGAAAGAATTACTCTGGTTTTGTACCTCAGATGGATCTACATCATAGAAGATTGGGAGAATAGTATATCGTGGTTCATGAATGCGCTCAGCAATCTTAGAAAGTTCCTCAAGACACCATATAGAAGAGGCATAGTTTCTGGAGAAGACGACGATGGAAACACATGACTGTTGAATTGCTTTGAGAAAGTGATGCGGAATGCTAGAAAAACCTGTCTCGAGTTTCTTGTCATCCCAAAAGGTATTTAAATCGTCAGTTTCAAGAGAAGCCCAAAGCCTATCTGTGAATTTGCAGCTTTCATCATCTCCTTTGAAACTTAGATACACATGAATCGGCCTCGATAATGAGTTGTTTATGAAACTCTCCATGGCTGTAACCTTTCGGTCTTGACGATTGGAAGACTTTCTTAATTGAAAAGTGGGGGATTAAATAGAGTCACAGTTCCTCACTGAGATTGATGTTGAATAATTGCTATTTAGTTTTCAATGTTTGAGCAAAGTGGAAAGCCACAGCAAAATGATGCCTCTTATAGTGTTATTTAACTTTAAGTAATAAATTAAAAAATTAAATAAAGATACCTCTTTCTTCGCAAGTTCGTCCTCTAACGCTTGACTTTTCTGAATTGCGGGCGGGACCAATCATGAATATAGGTACTAGCTTCTTATTTTTTAAATATCAATGCTACATACATACATATATATATTATTAACATTAAAAAATAATAAAAAATCATATGTGAATAGTCCACGTCCATTTCTGAGTCGATGTCTCTCACTGAGCTTCTGAACATCTCTTAATGGCTCTACAGACAAAAGAGAACAATAAAATGGAAGCAAGGGAGGATTTTTAATGTGGAAATTTCTTGGAACTTGCCCTGAAAGAGATATGAACGGGGCTTTCTAATTTCTACGCTAGTGTGTGGCATCTGCACCTCACCCACCTCTCGTTTATGGCTGTCAACTTCTTCTTGACCCGACTACATTCTCATCCATACCTTACACCACTGCTTGCGCTTGAGTTTAATGAGATATTATAATTAATAATCTAGAACCACCCCAAGTGATTTTTCAATCAGAAGTTTAATTTCAATTTCCGCAGAATAAAAATTGAAATTTCCACCTATAAATAATAAAAATCTTCAATTTCAGAAGAATTATATGAATCAAATTTATTCCTAACGTGTAAGAGGATGAATCAAATTTCGGAAGGCAAGGTGGAAGTGATTCCCCTGTTTAGTTCTTCTCATCATCCCCACATCTTGGCTTGGTTTCATTTAATTTTTTTTTCGGCAAAAAAAAAAGTGACTGTCAACAATGATATGATATTTATTTTATTGCATAAAATATGTGTAAAGCAAATTAAGCAAGGATAATGCACGTGGATGGCCAAAAATAATCACTTTCGGGTAGGAAAAATATTGACATTGGCCAATGGATGAATCGGAGGGAAACAGAGCAAAGCAGAGTGTTGTGACTTGGAACGAAAAGCAAGTATTAGCAAGACCGACCTCTGCAATATAAGAAAAATTCAAATAATTAATGCAGATAAGAGCAGCATCAGGTTTGATTAGGTAGTACAAAGTGGATTTTACGGCTTGAGAATATTATGAATAATGTTACCTGAATATACAAAGGGATTTGGGTCAATAGACAAACGAAACAGGGACAAACACAAACAGAGAGTTTAGAAGGAAAGAGATAGAAGTAGAGGAAAAGAAAGTGAGGTATGAGAAACAAAGATGGTTGGAAAATGATATGCATTCCCGAAGGCCAAAGCACTTAAACAGATTTTTCTCTACGTAATTGCTGTCTCCTACAAGAAAATGGTTCCTGATGAGTAAGTTCATTTTTATCAAGCTCTTCAAAAGGGCGAAAATTCGCAAACAATAAGCAAGTTTTGAGCAGCAAACCCTATTTAGAATCTCCAATTTGCTTAGACAAAACATATGCATTGGAAATGCTACCAATAACATTACTATAACTTTTCAAATTTTGGAGTTTGAGCCTTGACATTTCAGCAATAGATGGATGAAGTTGCAGCTGAGTGTGATAAAGCTTCAATTCTCAATGTAATTCTTGCATCGTCTTCCAAAATTAAGACTAGCTTCAACTCTTTAAATAGTGCCCTAATAATAAATTCATTTACCTAAAAAAAAAAAGAAAGAAATGTTAGATCACCTAGGATAAAAGTGCAAATTTAAAAATAAATTTTTGATAAATGTGCAGCTGGCACCATAATATTTTTTTCAGTAAAAAAATGTGCTCCGTCTGATTCTAAATGGATTTTATATTTAGAAATAAAAAGACGTGTGTGTATATATATAACGCCTGACGCCGCCTACGAAGCTGCTACTGGGGGGGGGGGAGAGCGGGATAAGGGAGAGTTGATCATGATGAGAGCACATAGGGTGAGAGCCCATATTTTGTTGACATTTGACACTAGGTGGGACCCACAACTAAAAAAAGCAGGGGTTAATTTTAAAACGCCGCTGGAAAAAAAACGACGTCGATTTGCAGCCTGCTTAAGCATCTATCTCTCCAGTTCTCTCCTTCTCTTGAAGTCAGTATTTTTAATGTTAAGTGATGAAAATTTTTATTTATTCAATTCAAAATATTTATTTTTAATTTTGTTGTTTGAAGTAGTTAGAATTTATTTGTTGTTATTTAAATATGTGCTTAACTGAGGCTGCATAGTTATTTTTTTTTTGGTGGAAATTTTGGATAGTTTGTAATTATTCATGGTAATTTGTTATTTGTTTGTGGAAGTAGTAGTTATTATATTGTCTATTAATTAAAAATTAAATTATTAATGTATTTTTTTGACCAGAAATTATTAATGTAATAGTTCATATTGATTGTTGATATAATGTTAATTATAATTTATTTGTTACATATTCATTTAATCGTTACTTGTTTATATGCTTGTTTTTATGTAGATATAATAGTTTATAATTCTTTATAAACGTTTATATAAACGATTTTTGATAAACATTTATATATTTATTCGTTAATTGTTTATATTTTTTTGACCATCAATTGTTTATATTTGTTCATATAATATTTTTTTGTATAAATGTATTGTTTATACAATTTTTTATAAACGTCTAATTATTTTAATATTGATTTGCATAATTATTTAAGTTTTTAAAAATAATTGAATAATTATTGTTAGTTAGACTATATGTATTGATTTGTATAGTTATGATGTCTATTAATAATTGCACAATTTATTTGTTATAATGATGGTCTTCATTATGGATGGACTTTCTTAATTAAAAATAGGATTGAATGGAATTAAAGTTCCTTGGTCCTTACAAAGTGACCCTCTACTAGGCCAATCCAAACAAAGTCTAATTTGAAAAGTTGTGCAAATTAAAAAGACAAATAAAGTAATCACCATAACAGGAAAAGGGTTTTTGGGGTCGAAAGTTGTGGGAACTTTTATTTTTTTATTTTGTAAAAAATAAAACTGATGTTGATTTCTATTTGTTTTTCAATCACCTTTAAATAAATTAACATATAAAAGCCTTTTTCTGAGCAAGTTCGTCCCTCTAACGCGTGTTTTTTTTTTTTTTAAGGCTTCCCTTCAACTGCGTCATCCCTAATGTAGTCCTATATGTGTTAATATTCAACTTCTTGTTATTTTGTGTGTGAATTTTTTTTATTATCAGATCTTATTATCAACTTGTTCACATGATGCCACATTTCACACCATTATGTCATTCAGGGGAAATGACGTTTGATGAACTCTTAATATATCATTAGTTATAACCATGGACTGCCAATTTTAAAAATTAAAAAAAAAACGAAGACCAAGTACCAAATATTAAAATGTCATTTTCATTGGAATTAAAATTTTTCTAGGCTAACTTTTTTTATATTAAGGTTTAACTGATTTATCCATAACATACCAAATATACTTATTTTATTAAAACGTCATTCTCATTTTTGTTTTTTATTCCGATTTCTATAAAAATACTCCATGGCCTAAATGGTCTTCAATTTCTTTGTTTTCCAACACATTGGCGTCATTATCCAGTAATTAATAATTTTTGTTTTGAGGCGGCACATGATACGTTATACAAGGCCCTTCTCCATTCAGAGGCACTTTGATTACATAAGCACCAACCTAGCTAATAATATTACAGTAATTTCTTATAATAGGAAATTCAAATTTAAAAAATAAGAAGGGATCGTTGAGATAGGAAGGGAGAGAAGAATAAGAGAGAGGAGAGGCATGGAAAACAAAACGGACTAATAAATTAAATGATACAACAATTACGAGTAACAAATTCTCAACAAATAGTACGCTTGCATAGATTTTTGTCTACATCGTTTCTGTTCTCTTCGAGAAAATGAGTGCTGAATGGGTTCTTTGAAAAGTTCGGGCAATTGGCAAACTTGGAGCAACCAGCCAAATTTAACATTTCTAAATCGGGTAGACAAAATAGACGATTGGGAATACTAACAAGATTAGTACAATTTCTCAAATTTAAGAATTTGAGCTCCCAAGGATAAGTAATAGATGGATCAAGCTGCGACAACTTAATGCATCCTTCAAGATCTAACCTGTTAAGTCTTGGACATTCCTGAAAATTTGGCGCCCTGGTTAAATCTTTGCAGCCACTAAGATTCATGCCTCTCAAAGAAGGGAATCGTCGGATATTAAAAAACGTTGCTTCATACTCAAGTGATTCCTAAAAGAAACGTAAGAAAGAAAGTTGAAGCTTTTCATAGAAAAGTTCACACACAAACACTTGACACATATAAACATGCACAAATAAAAATAAAAATATATAACAGAAATTATATATATTAGTTGATATAAACATTTTGATTATTGCTCATAAGCAAGTGGTTTCCATTTACTTGTGATGCAATTATCATATACCTTTTCTTCATCCCATAAGCTTGTTATGCAGCTATCAGGCAAAATCAATTCTCCAAGATGAGGTGGTTTAAAGCTTGACGGCAAAGAAGTGAAAGGATATTGGTGCCATGAAATATATTGGAGAGAGTTCGAAAGATGTTTTAGGACTCCAGAAAATTTAACATTACGAAATATGAGTATTCTAAGCTTGTTCATGCGTGATAAACCTTCGACCCTCAACGTAGTCCCTTGTGAATCTTCCAGCTCCAAGACTATTGCTTCAACATTAAAAGTAGCCTGACAAGACACACATTTATATAAAAATGATGAAAAGTGAGATTACTTCAATTGAACCAAACAAAAATGTTATAAGAACTTACGGTGTCATTTTGCATAACTCTAAAAATATCATCAAAATCCCATAATCTACTCCACTTTTCTGGCTCACAAGGGAATTTACCCCGAACAATGTTTCTTCCCATTTCTTGCAATAAACGATGAATTTGTATTTTTTGATCTACAATGGCCATGAGTGATTTTTCAATCAAAACATTCGTATTTTGACACGTTCCTGTACTGTTCAAAATTCCTTGTACAAACTTAATCTCCTTCCCTGTAAAAAAACATGCCATGTCTAGAAATAGTTCCTTGTAACCGCGGTCCAGTTCATCAAAACTCTTTTTAAGGACCTCCATTATCACTGAATCAGCGAACTTTTTGAATACAACCAAGTTACTGCTCCATTCAGAAGGCCTTCTATTATATAAGAATTGGCTCAGTACTACAATTGCTAATGGAAGGCCGCTAGCATATTGGAGTACATTATCAATTTGTTCCTCATAACCTCTCAATGGAAAATCACATTTGAAAGCTTTTCTACAAACTAATTGAAGAGCTTCATCCTTAGTCAATAGCTTAACCCTATAAATATCATGCGTCCAAGACCCTTTAACCACTCCTTCATCTCTAGTTGCCATGATGATTCTACTCCCTCCACCTAATTGGTTATCTCTTACAGCAAGGAACAGTAATATTTTAATATAAGAAATATCAACACAATCAAAAACTATGAGAGTTCTCTCGATGAGATGTCTTAGCCCTATGATCTTACGAAATTCATGTGCATTGAGTACCAAATAAGATGCATCAAAATGGTGAGATATCCTTTCGTAGATAACTCTTGCCAGAGCTGACTTGCCTATTCCGCCCATACCACAGATGCCCACAACTCGAACTTCATCATTTGAACCCAAATCTAGAAGCTCTACAACTTCTCTCACTCGAGATTCCATCCCTACTAGATCTACATCAGCATAGACTAATTCACGCATTTTTCTCTTGAGCTCCTTAATGATGTCATCAATAACTTGTGGCTCTGGCCTAAATAAAGGAAAACCAAAATGAAAGCACCAAATAAATCACTTCGTCAATACTCTATTTCATTAATTGATCAACAGTTACTTGAAGATCAATAATTTGCCTATCAAGACTTCTAAAGTTTTGATGTAGAAAAACTAATTACTTACTCTCGTTGTACATGCCAACCTGCAGGGAGGTTGGCCACTTGTTTTATTGCTAACCTCCAATTGCGTACCATGCGTAAATTTGTTGTAAACCTTTGTTCATGTTCAGCAAAAGCCTTTTCAAAAGAATTACTCTGCTTTTGAACCTCAGATGAATCGACATCATAGAAAATGGGGAAAACAGTATATCGTGGCTCATGAATGCGTGCAGCAATCTCTGAGAGCTCCTCGAGGCACCATATAGAAGAAGCATAGCTTTTGGAGAAGACAACAATGGCGATGTTGGATTTTCGAATTGCTTCGAGGAATTGATGTGGAAGAATGATGGAGTTACCTGGGTCAAGCTTCTTGTCATCCCAAAAAGTAATCAAATCATTACTTTCAAGAGCAGCCCAAAGTCTATCTGTAAATCTGCAAGTTTCATCATCTCCGATGAAACTTAGATACACATGGATTGGCCTTGATGATGATGGCGGTCCGCTTATGAAATTCTCCTTCGTCACTTTCATGATCGGTCGCCTTTCTCAATGGGAATTAAGCTATAGATATAGTGGAGTCACAATTGCTCGATCCCCTAGCTTTCGAAGATCTATTAATGGCTCAGGGAATGGAAATAGATCAATAAAATAAGAACCTTAACGTGAAACGAAGAAGAGAGGGGTCGCTAAGGTGGAAATTTCTTGGAGCTTGCCCTATGAGGTGCGAAGAAGGGTAGGTAAAATCTCGTTTCTATGCAAGTGTTTGCGCGTCTGATAAGAATTGAAAATTAAAATTTTTGTTAGTTTCTATGCAAGTGTGTGTTACAACACTAATTTTTAATTTTTATTATAATAATGAGCAGTAGACAGCGGCAAGAAACAAACCGCAAGCATGCCCCTTTGATAATTAATTACTAGCGATTTATTTATTTGTTTATCACTGTACAAGGGGATCGGACTAGTCCGACTATGTCATGAATAGCTTGTAGCTTGGGGCGAAAAAAGTACTCGATTCGATTCTTAATGTAAGGCTTGTTTTGCAGCATAAATTATACTAAAAAGTAGGTTTTATATTAATAACAGTCAATTATTAGGTACCAAAAGACAATAAATTTTGTCACAATACTTGATGATTTCATTATTAAAACTGTCAAGCATTTTCATAAATATTATTAACCCATTCACTTATTATTTTCATAGAATACATATTCGGATTTTTTTGGTGATTGTTTAGCTATTTTAATAGATGACCTGGATTATAAGGGGCATCAACTTTGTGATCTCTCATTTACATATGAGCATCTATCTCACTAGGTTACAATATCATTGGTGGAATTCAGACCTAAAAGCACCAATTTAATCACGTAGTCACCGGATTGTTTCACTAATTGGTCAACAGTTATTTGAAATTCTTTATAATTTGCCGTTTGAGAATATGAGACTTGAAATTTTTGATAGAGAAAAACTAAGCACCGTCCAAAGCTTTTTTTTAATTTTTTTTAGTGAGACAAGATTTTGAAGATCTTTAATCGCTCTGCAAATTATAAAAGATGTGCGTACACGGATAAAAGTGGAAGCATAAAAAGAAAAAGGAAAAGGGCCGCCAAGGAGGAAATTTCTCGGAGCCTGCCTTTAAAAAGATCCTAAAGAGGAGTCTCTATCTTTATAATTTCTTTGAGCAAAGTGGGGATGCAAAGTAAAGTGATTCTTATTCTTTTTTTTTAGAAAATTACAATCAAGTCTCATAAAAGAAAAAAATATAAAACAAGTCCCAGATGTTGTTATTCTTCACTGTAGGACTTGTTATTACAGGCTGTTCAGATTGTTATTGGGACCTTTTAGTAATTATTTCTCTTCTATGGGACTTGATTGTAATTCTCCTTTTATCCTTTACGAAAAGGCAAAATGACACTAAATAATAAAGTGCCTTTTATTCACCTTTAAATATAAATAAATAAATGAACAATTAAACAAAAATGCCTCTTTATGATATGTTCGTCCTCTTTCTAATTGATGGATCAAGCTGTGATAATTTAGTGCATCCTTCAAGCTCTAGGCTCTCAAGATATGGAAGTTCTTTGAAATCTGGCATTTTCGTTAAAACTCTGGACCCACAAAGATTCTTGTCTCTCAATCAAAAGAAAATATGTCAATGGAAAATAGTGTACCGCACATTAGCTAAACAATATCTATAAGTTAGAAGCGCTTGCACACACATACTTATCATTAGGCAAAATCAGTTCCCAAAGACAATATGGTCTAAAAATTGAAGACAAAGAAGTGGAAGGATATTGGTGCCATGAAATATATTGGAGCAATGCTGAAAGAAATGACACAAGAAAAATGTTTTTGGGTAGCAAAATAGAGGCATTGGGTGAATTGGAGCAAAACAGAGCAAAGCAGAGTGTTCTGGCTTGGACAGAGTATCAAAATGACGAGACTGTAAGAAACACAACGGATTCGCTTCTATCAATAAATGGAGAATTGCAATGAGATCACAAGTAAGAAACATAATTACTAAAAGTTCTAGTGACAACAAAACAGCTTGTAATAACAAGCTTTAGAATAGTAAATTATAATTACCCATTTGTCATTATGACTTTTGAGCAATCATGTTCTATATTTGGAATTTCATTGCAATTCTCCCTAAAGGATACATACACATAAGAAACAAAAGATATGTTGTAAGCACACATATAAAGCGGGGGATGAGAAATAGAGCAGTTAAAATAGATTTTTGTTCACGTAATTTCTTTGTCATGCAAGAAAATGGTTGCTGATGAGTAATTTCAGTTTCATCAAGATCATCAAAAGCAGGAAAATTCAAGTAGTTGAAGCTCTCGTTCATCTTTAGTTGTTAACATAATTCTACTTCGACCGCCAAACCAATCAGATTCCACAATCCAATTTATTACTCTTAGATTTTGTACAATCATATAGCTACTTGTTAACTTCGAGGATATAGTGTCATTTCAACACTTTTTTTGTTTTTGTTTTTGATACAACTGCCATATTTGTATATTCTCTAAATACTCAAGCACTACAAAAAAACAGCGAATTAGCGACGGAATTTGCGACGGAAACAAATTCCGTCGCAAATTAGCAACGGAATCAGCGACGGAAATTCCGTCGCTAATTTTTTTGACAGATTAGCGACGGAATTTCTGTCCGTCGCTAAATTCCGTCGCTAATCCGTATTTAGCGATGGAATCTTTTCCTGTCAGACAATTCCGTCTCTAATTCCGTCGCTAATCCGTCAAAAAAATTAGCGATGGAAATTCCGTCGCAATTCCGTCAGAAATTTGCGACGGAATTTGTTTTCGTCGCAAAGTTTAAGAAAATAAATTACATAGGATATATATACAAGTAGAAAAATACTGTTTATCATAATCTATTTAAATCATTTAATTTTTTATATAAAATAATTTATTAGATTTTATTATAGTAGTTATTTTTTGAATTTTTTGAATAACAAGATTTTTTGACTAATTGTAAATGATTTTTTTCAAATATATAAACCACATATACATATATAATATAATGTAATATAATATATATATAATTAAATTGTATATCTTATCAATGTTAATTAAAAATAAATTTAAAAATTATTTATGAAAAATTATTTATGATGTAAAATTCAAAATTAGTGTCATTAGAAATTAAAATTATATTAAAAAGATTTTTAAAAAATAAAAAATTATAAAAGTAGTAAAACAAACATTTAAAAATTATTTTTTCATTAAAATAGTTATTATTAAAATTATCATATAGTATATTTTTAGTTTTTAATAATATATATGTATATATAATTGTTTGTGTAAAATAATATAATATATATTTAATTTTATATAATAAGTCAACAGGTTCATTGCAGCTCAACTAGTAAAGCCGCACATGCGCACAGAGGAGGTCCTGGGTTCAAGCCATGGAGAAGTCACTTTGAAAAGGGAATTATGTGGTGGTGACACGTGGTGCACACGTGGCAGGCAGAGGTGAGGTGGTAGGCACACGTGACAGGCAGAGGTGTGACACGTGGCGCACACATGGCAGTAGATGTGAGGTGGCAGCGACACGTGGAGGTGTTCTCAATGATGATGTGGCAATTGGTAGAGGTGTCACGTGGCATTTTATTTTATTTTTTAAAAAATTGAGTTAGCGACGGAAAAATTCCGTCGGTAATTAGTGACGGAAAATCCGTCGCTAATCCGTCGCTAAATGCAAAATTCCGTCGCTAAAACCATGTTTTTTTTGTAGTGAAGATAGGAATATGTGGATTTTGTTTTTGGATTGCACATGATTATTTTACTTGTACATATTTTGGTGTTGGCTCTAGGTATCATTTTCTGGTTTAATTGTTGTTGTAGAGTGAGGTTGGTTGAGGAACCAAGCCATTCTAGGAAGTTTGCGAAGCTCTTTTATTATCTTATTACAGTATAAGGCTTATCTTTGTGATTAATACAATTAATAAACAGGCATATATATATATATAATTTAAGAAGTTGCATTAATGAAGTACAATCTTCAATCTTACCCTTGAGGCTAAGATGATAAAAAAAAGAAAAAGAGATAACTGACAAAAAGACAATCACATTATACTATTCCCAAATTGGTAGCTTTATGTTTATTTGACTTCACAAATACAAATCAAGTAAACAAGACAACAACAAACAAACTCATGATAACTAAACCGAATGCTAGGCAGTTTTGCTTGTACCAAGCTCCTCATAGGAGAAAACTTCAAGCAACATGCAAGTTTAGAGCAGCCAGCTAGATTTAAGACTTGCAACGAGTCCATAGAAAACAAGGCATTAGGTATACTAACAAGATTGACGCAATTTCTCAAGTTCAAGAATTTGAGCTTTGAAAGTTTAGCAATAGATGGATCAAGTTGCAACAATCCAGCGCATCCTTCAAGCTCTAGGCTCTCAAGTAAGGGTGGAAATAGGCCAGGCGGCCTGTTAGGGGCCTGTGGCCTGGCCTGTAAATGGCCTGGCCTGGCCTGGCCTATTTAGATATTAGACCAGGCTCAGGCCTGTAAAAAGGCCTGTTTGCTTTATCAGGCCAGGCTCAGGCCTGACAGTAAGCCTGTTAGGCCTGTCAGGCGGCCTGGGCCTGTTATCTTTTTTTTTTTTATGTTAAAATTATAAATTGATAGGAGGGATTTTGTTATTCTAATTGGTTAATTGAGAAAACTTCATCCACATAAACGTGTTATCTAGAGCCTATTGCATGCGACATTTCATTTCCATTCTCTATAATAAAAATAATTGATATATGTATAATGACACATATTTAAACAGAGAAAGAAAACATAAGTGCATTTAAAAAAAAAAACATCATTCATTTATTTGATCCATGCTTATAGAATATATATATATAGAGAGAATTGACCTATTATGTTTTAGACCGTGTATATGTGTGCTCAATCTAATTCTTGTTATAATAGTTACTTAATTAATTTGAATAAATAAATAAATAAATTATAATAACTGTAATATTTTTTAAAAAAAAACCATGTGTAACAACAAGATCAAATATCATTTTGTTAGTAAATTAGTCTGAATAAATGATAAATTTAAAATATAAAAGGGATTAAGGATGTTTCATATTTTAAACT